ACATATTTAAGGGAATTGCAAGGTCTGAAGAGGGTGAGGGTCCATGTCAAACTATAAGACCTTTGTGTCCAACAAGGTGGACGGTCCGCACGTAGTGCCACCCGCACTGTGCTAAACCAGTACCAGTGCATAATCAAGGCTTTGGCTGAGATGGCAGTGAGTCAGTCTGATGCGGCTAGTAAGGCACAAGGGCTGTATGAGACATTTCAGCAGGGAATTGTTGTCCTTGGTCTTGTGTGTGCTTTGGAGGTCACAGGGGAGTTGGAGGTTTTGATTATGTCCCTCCAGAGCAGAACACAGACCCTGGATAGTATGCTTTCAGCTGTTGACTGTGTTAAGGAAAGTTTCAGCAAAAAGAGAAACACAGAAAGTTTTCAGGCTCTTTACACGAAAGCAACAAGGATGTGTGAGACACTCCATCTCACCCTATTGCCTCTCCTCGTGTCCGTATCCCACCTCAGTGCTTCACAGGTAGTGCTCCTGCACATGTACGTGTCCCCTTCTGACTACTACAGGACTGAATTCTACAAAGGTCTGGATGTTGTTGACATGCAGTTTAGAGAAAGATTTGAGCAGGAGGGAATGCAAATATTAAGGCACCTGGAACTCGTTCTCTTAACTGGAATGATACAAGGTGTTGTCCAACAGTACCCAGAAATCAACCCAGACATCCTCAAAGTTCAGCTTGCATTGTTCAGAATTAACTACAGCTTCCAGTCTAGTACTGAAATTGTTGCTGTTCTTCAAGGGATGACCCCAGAGGTTCGTGGTCTCTTTGACCAAGTCGAAACAGTTGCCCGACTCCTCCTAGTTGAGCCTGTGTCATCAGCAGCCTCCGGAGGCTGAAAACATGGCTACGCAGGACCATGACCCAAACCCGCCTCAACAGTGTTGCTGTGTGCCATGTACATAAAGACAAGCTGGACAAGGTAAACAGAAAAAAGCTTGCTGAACAGTTTGTCTCCTGTAAGGAGGGGAGAAAGAGCACTTTTGGTTCTTTTTAAATGAGAGGTAGTTGATCATATGTTCATTGATCAGTTGGTTGTTGTTGTTGTTGTTGGTTGCACACACACATATATATATATATATATATATATATATATATATTCTTAATATATGTTGTTTGTGTATCTGGAGTTTGTAACAAAAATAATTTCCCCTGGGATTATTAAAGTATTTCTGATTCTGATTCTTTAGCAAGTCTACTGTTGTGTATTTTCACAACAGGGTTTTGACTTATTTTCCATTACTGTCAGTCACATTTGGACATATGGAAGCCCGAAGTTGTCAATGATGATAATAAAATATAAGACAATATTTAATTAAATCAACAAGCTGTGTTAAATATCTATGTGAAATAATTGAGAAAATTGTTCAAACCCAACTAGGAATTCATTTTCAGATACAATTTTTATTTTATTAGTCATGTTTGTTCCAATTTTTTTAAGCCCATTTTTATTTCCTGTTAGTTTGCAGATGTGTTTATCATTTTATACCGAGTGTGTTTTTTCTAGTTTATACTAGTATCTAGTGATACTTTTCTAGTATCACTCATTTAAATGGGAAGCTTTTAATATCTTGTATTTTATACTTTTGTACCCTTCTGTCATGGTATTGATCGTTTATATTGTTAATGAACAAACCACATCCATCCCCGCACTTTTGAAAAGCTTGCTACGCCCCTTTGTGTGATAGTGTTTTGTCATATTTAACAGTAATATATTGATCAGTGAAACTCAGCCACGATGATCAGCTCTGATGTGTGTGTGACCGTGAGTCTCAGCCATCATCAGTGTGTGTTTGCTGCGACCAGAATAAGTTGATTTTATCCCAAAGTGATCATCAGCAGAGGATTGTTTTTACTTTGAGTGTGTGAACAAACATGTGGGAGCGACTGGAAAACGTGTTTTGACGGAGCTGCGATGCATTTGAAATGATTTCCGGAGAGAAATGAGTGTTAAAAGCCGCCGAGCAGCGCCGCTCAGGACGGTGAATATGTGAGGTTTGGAGGCTCCCCAAAGAAAATGCAGAGAGCATCAGAGCTCTACAAGAGCTGAATATGAAGAGACACAAGTCCGCTATCGGCTCCTTCACCGTCAGCCTCCAGCACTTGTCCCACATTGAGTTTGGAGCGTTTTATCGATGAGGAGAAAACACAAGTGAGCCGGCATCAGGAGGCCGGGGCCGGGTTGAGTCTCCACGGTCCTCATGGTGTGTTTAAGGGCAGCCTCCTGCTCCGGACTCTCCAACACTCAGTGTCACTGTCGTATCGCGCCGAGCAGGAAGACAACATTAAGTTGACAATGGCAGAAGTAGCTCCAGCTCCCGCCGCCGCCGCCGCCCCGGCTAAAGCAGCCAAGAAGAAGGTTTCCAAACCGAAGAAGGCCGGCCCCAGCGTCAGCGAGCTCATCCTGAAAACTGTGGCCGCATCCAAGGAGCGCAGCGGCGTGCCTGCGGCCGCCCTCAAGAAGGCTCTGCTGCCGGAGGCTACGATGTGGAGAAGAACAAGGCCCGCGTCAAGACCGCCATCAAGGGCCTGGTGGCCAAAGGGACTCTGGTCCAGACCAAGGGGACCGGGGCCTCCGGATCCTTCAAGATGAGCAAGAAGACGGCCGAGCCCGCAGCCAAGAAGAAGAAGCCGGCAGCAGCAGTCAAGAAAGCCTCCGCTCCTAAAGCCAAGAAGCCCGCAGCAGCAGCAGGAGCAGGAGCCAAGAAAGGCAAAGCAGCAGCGGCCAAAAGCCCAAAGCAGCGGCAGCCAAGAAGCCCGCAGCCGCTAAGAAGTCCCCGAAGAAGGCCAAGAAACCCGCGGCGGCGGCGGCAGCCAAGAAAGCCGTGGCCAAGAGCCCCAAGAAGGCCACCAAGAGCCCCAAGAAGGTGGTGAAGAAAGCTCCTGCAGCCAAGAAAGCCCCCGCAAAGAAGGCTGCAAAGCCCAAAGCCAAGAAGGCAGCACCCAAGAAGAAGTGAGCTGTCAGCAGTCTGATTGTGTCCGACTAAAGGCTCTTTTAAGAGCCACCAACACTCACCTTAAAGAGCAAGGTCCTGGTTATTATTGTTACTGTTGTTGTTATTATCTCCAGATGTTAGGAGGTTTTCTATTATTGTTACAATGTAACCTGATTTGAGGCTGTCTGTCAACACTGATGAAGACATATAAAATGTAAAATGTATTGTAATGTATTATAGAAAACAAATATCTGAGGAGAGCCAGTCAGCTAATTTATATTTTTCACTCTTTTATATTTCAGGATTTTTCTTTGTATAGTGATTGTATGAAAATATTAGAGCTGTTGTGTCTTGGAGTTGTTATGTAACAACAAAGAAATGTCCAATGATGAACTACAATGATGATGAGACACAACAGCATCTTTTAAAGGATTGTTACAGAGCTCAGGAAGTCAGCCACAGATTGAAAGAGTTTGGACTAAACTATGATCCCTGTTGGAAGTCTGTGATGTTTGTAACCATTAACAGAAAAAATAAACCATCTGACCACATTGAACTATTACAGCTTATAATGAGCATCGCTTGTTTTAAACTGTGGAAAACAAGATCTGCTATGATCATATACCAGACTATTATAGACAGTAAGACTGTAACTAAACAAATATCTACTCAACTCTGGAGAAGGAAACCCCTGGACAAAAGTCAGAGCCTCCCATGGAACAATCTGGATTTATAATACAGAACTTTATAGACATTAAAACTCCCTCAGACTCTCTGAATGTACGCACTTTATAAATGTTCACTGATGCATTTTAGGGTTAAAATGTTTATGTAGCCTAATATGTGTAATGAGTCAAATTTAATAAAGTTGATGAACAGGAAAGAAAATATTAGAATGTATTTGTTTTATATAGGTTATTATTTTAACACATCTGATGTTTAACTTTGTTACATTGAAACAGAAGTTTTCTATTGTTGTTACACTGTAACCTGATCTGGATATTTCTGGCCTAATATTATATTATACAGGTCATCTGTCAACACTGGATAGTAAAGACTAATGTCAGAACAAGTAAATAAAATATAGGGGAAAAAAATAAATATCTAACATGACTCAATTAAATAGTTTTGTTGTTTAGTTGAGGATTTATTGTATATTGATTGTTGTGGTTAACAATATCCGAATATAAAAGGAGAAAACAAATCTTCACTTTCTCTCTTCACAAGAGTCTAAAAAAATAAATAAACTAGTTAATTAATGAGTGTAATCAGAGGCATTAGAAACGTTGCTGTTTGAGGAGAGTTTGTGGCTCTTAAAAGAGCCTTTATGTGTGTTTTCCAGCGGGCAGCAGGTTCACTTGGACTTGGCGGGCTTCTCGGTCTTCTTGGGCAGCAGAACAGCCTGGATGTTGGGCAGCACGCCGCCCTGAGCGATGGTCACTCCGCCCAGGAGCTTGTTGAGCTCCTCGTCGTTGCGGACAGCCAGCTGCAGGTGACGGGGATGATCCGGGTCTTCTTGTTGTCGCGGGCAGCGTTTCCAGCCAACTCCAGGATCTCAGCGGTCAGGTACTCCAGCACAGCCGCCAGGTAGACGGGGGCGCCGGCACCCACACGCTCCGCATAGTTGCCTTTGCGCAGCAGCCTGTGAACACGGCCGACCGGGAACTGGAGCCCGGCCCGGGAGGAGCGGGTCTTTGCCTTAGCTCGGGCTTTTCCGCCGGTTTTGCCTCGTCCGCTCATTTTCGATGCTTTTACAGTCGACGCTCAAAACAAAGTGTGACTCCGACACATAAAACCCTCCTTATATGTCCGCGGAGCGTGCGGGGGGCTTCCCGAGAGACCAACCAGAAAACAGGCTGCCGTCGGAGGGCGGCCGCTCCGGGTTTTGGCGGACATTTTGAACGCCTTTCTCCGCCAATGAGCGGCCGAGGTTGGGGCGGGGGGCCGCTCCTCCGGGCGGCGCTGAGCCCAAGAGGAGCCCCTAACCAATCCGGAGCCGGAGCTGTGGAGCAGCGTCACCGTCCGACAGCCGGTCCCACAGTTTAAGAGCAGCGGGTCTCCTCTCTTTACTACACTCTGGTCCCGTTCACAGGAACAACAACAACCACAAGAAGAAACGATGGCGAGAACCAAGCAGACCGCTCGTAAATCCACCGGAGGCAAAGCCCCCAGGAAGCAGCTGGCTACCAAGGCTGCCCGTAAGAGCGCCCCGGCCACCGGCGGCGTGAAGAAGCCTCACCGTTACAGGCCCGGTACCGTGGCTCTGAGAGAGATCCGTCGGTACCAGAAATCCACCGAGCTGCTGATCCGCAAGCTGCCCTTCCAGCGCCTGGTCCGAGAAATCGCTCAGGACTTCAAGACCGACCTGCGCTTCCAGAGCTCCGCTGTCATGGCTCTGCAGGAGGCCAGTGAGGCTTACCTGGTCGGCCTGTTTGAGGACACCAACCTGTGCGCCATCCACGCCAAGAGGGTCACCATCATGCCCAAAGACATCCAGCTGGCCCGTCGTATCCGCGGAGAGAGAGCTTAAACTGTCTGCTGCTGCTCCACAAAAACACAACGGCTCTTTTAAGAGCCACCTCACTGCAGACTAAAGACCCTCTTCCTCTCATCACACTTTATTATTATTATTATTATTATTATTATTATTATTATTATTATTATTATTATTATTATTATTATTATTATTATACTTGACCTCAAAAACTAGGAAGACTAAATGTGCTCAGTTTTATTTTAATTGTCTAAGATAAAATGTAGGCAGAAGTGGGTGAAATAATGTAATATTTCTAATTATTATCTTATTTGACTAAATGATACAATAGTCTAACTACTGCAGTACCTCCCTTTATCCAGGACAACCTGATGATTTCTTAAATACTTTTGCTACTTTGATAAGTCACAATGTGACTTTTGTCAAAACTCAATCTATTACCCTGTTTATCTATTTAAGCACATGTATCACTGATTTAATTTCTGTTCAGGAGAAACTATGTTGGCCATGAAACCAACAACATCTAAGGCCCCATTTAGAGCCGATGTTTAGTTCTTCAGTACCAACTACAGAGTGTCTGCCTCTGATCACCTTCAATTATTTATTATAGTATTGATTGTTACATATTTCCATCCTGTGATGACTGAAATCACCTTTATTTTAACCCTTCTCACTGAATGAGTGGATACAAATGTTTGAATTGACTTTGACATTGTCATTAATATGAATATTTGAATACATAATGTTCTTATATGATCTTACTGCAGTTTTATAAATTATTCTGCACACTTAAAAATCTGTTGTATGTTAGTGTTAAACACTTTTCGGGTTACTTGGATCAATCCCAAAATATCGACACTTAGATACATTTTAGTTTTTGAAGACCGATTCCAGCTTCGATATGATTGATACCAATAAATGATCAGTTTCTCTCTTACATGTTGTTTCCATTTGTGTTTCATCAAAGAGTAGAAATGTGTCTCTGCTGTTGTCTTGTCAGTGAATAAACATACTGTGAACTATAATGTGTGTAAGGAGGCTGTTAATGATGAGGACACAACAATGGCCCGACAGTCTTTAGTTACAATAAAGAGATAGATAATAATATTTGTGTTTTATTAACAGTATGAAAATGTCTTCATTCATTTGTGGAGCACTTTTTATGGACTGTGATTATTGTCTGGTTCTTCTCATCCTGACCTACAGACTGAAACTTAAATCCTAAATCCTGAGGGCGAGACTGAGAGAAGATGGACCAACGAGTCAAAGCTGAACTACAGACCTGCTCCGTGTTTTTGAGGCTACAGCCACAGACCGACGGGCTCACTGACACTGTAACATCTTACATTAGTTATTGGGACTTTCTGCACAAACAACAACCACAAACCAGTTTACAGCAGAACTCAGGCAGCTTTGTCAGACCATGGAGGAGGTTTACAAGGGGGACAGATTCCTGTACAAGCAGACCAGAAACACCCTGACAAAGGAGGTCAAAGCTACAGGAGCCCACCGCCCCCCTACACTGTGGAGAACCATCAACTGGCTGGACGACCTGAATGTGTTTTACTGTAGATTTGAAAGGCTCACATTCACACTCCTCCAACATCAGCTACCTACACCCCCTGCCACCCTGTCCCTGTCCCTCAAAAAACCTCCATCACAGACTAAATGACTACAGGCCTGTCGCCCTCACTACTACAGATAGTAGTCATGAAGTCCTTTGAAAGACTGGTGTTAGTCCACCTGAAGGACATTACAGGCCCCTTTCTGGACCCCCTGCAGTCACTGACAGGAGGCAGCTGGTGAGTTTGGGGGAGCAACACATCCAGCACCCAGACAATTAGCACTGGCGTCCCCAGGGCTGTGTGCTCGCCCCACTGCTCTTCTCCCTTTATACCAATGACTGCACCTCCAGAGACCCGTCTGTCAGTCATCGGCCTCCTCCAGCACGGTGATGAGTCTGCATATAGACGGGAGGTTGAACAGCTGATCCTCTGATGTGGTCATAACAACCTGGAGCTTAATACGATCAAACCTGTGGATCATTGGCGCCAACCTGCCCTCCATTCAGGACCTGTACCTGTCCAGAGTCAGGAAACATCACTGCAGATCCATCTCACCTGGACACAACCTGTTCCAATCCTTGTACACAACCCTCCGACTCTAACATCTATAAAACTATTTATTATTTATATTTCCATTGTTGAAATTCAGTTTCTTTAAAAAAATACATATAAATAAATAAATAAATAAATAAATAAACATTGGACTCTGCACTATTGTATACTGTCTACTAATATTATTGCTTTTGTTTGTTTATATATTTATATGTATAAATGTACATAGTAGCTTATGTCTTTTTGTTGAGCTTGTTGTTCTGTTTAATTGTTTATTCTGTGTTTGTACATTGAGAGCAACGTAAAACCTGAGTTTTGTATGTGAGCAGAAACCTGGACAATAAAGTGATTCTGATTTACTCCATAAACTCATTTACCTGAAAGTAAATCAGGCGCTTTTATTAAAAATATCAATATCAGCGATTACAGTTCATTATTATCAATATGTAATATTGGTGTATAACCTACCTGTGGCCCTTTTCTACAGATTTTACTGATTTTTTCCTTATTAACTGAATTAATCCGTTACAGTTTTTCCAATTGCTAAAACACAATTTTGCAAACTAGGCTGGTTTTATCAAAATACTTAACACAATTCACAAAACCACACACCCAAACTGCAAAATACCTCATATATCCTGCAAAATGAAGCACTGCAACCAAAACTACATATAACATTATCAAAATCATATTTTTGCACCAAATGGCACACACACTTCATTCATATTACCAGATTTTTGTCTAACCAACTACACACTGTTGGGCATAATGAAAAGCACTCTCATCTTTAGTGTGCTTTGCCATAATACTAAAATAGTTCAAATTGTAGAAAATTCTTCAGATTGTTCACATGCACAGAAATATTGTAGATACACACACACATGCTGTTGACATTTTTTATTTATCACCAAACAAGTCAGTGCAACATATGCACAGCAGATATATTTACATTGGAGTGAACAAAAATATGCTCACAAAAAACAGTAAACTGAAAAAGAAAATTGGAGAAAAAATGTGCAGAAAAATATATAGGAAAAAAAGAGGCAAGAAAAATATTTCGGCACAACTTGCTGCACAGCTGGGTCTGGCCACAACGCCTCGTCCACATCACAGGCAATATCTTCCCTTGCCAGACATCAAGGGAAGAAGCGCCTTGAGTGCCTTATCCATCCCTGAATTGCACCCACATCAATTTCATCACATGAAACGTCTCGGTCCTTTAGAAGAACAAAAACAAAAATATAGGGCTTGGACAATACAGCCTCAAGATACAGTAGAGTAAATTGTACAGGAAACTTGTACAGTTACTGTATGACATCAGCCATTCATGAAGTAAACAGGTGTCACCTAACTGATACACTATGACATGGGGTGTACAAACATAGTGTGAAAGAAATTTTGGTTACATATCTGTACTCCAGTCTAAATGTCCGGATGACAGAGGCAACAGTAAAACAGCCTCAAGTTGGGCTGCACGCTCTGTCCAGCCTCTCGCATTGTCAGCCCATGGTTATGACATGATCATCTAAGGTTGCTGATTTCATTGAAAGTTGTTGTCTTTGGCCATGAACCTCTACCAGCTCTACCCCTACCTCTCACTCTTCCTCCCACTCTCTTTCTCATTCTCTCTCCACCCTCCCTCTTTCTCTTCATACCTCCTGTAGTGTCATTTTGAATGGCAGTGTTTTGAAATGGCAAACATGTGACTTTATGTCAGATTGTTGTGTCTTATGCAGAGAACTATGTTCAGTGCATTTAAAAAGTGCCATTATGAATTTCAAAACATGTGTAAAGCAGAAAATGTGTTTAGAATTTTGGAGACTTGAGAAGAGGTTTTGCTCTCTGTGTGTCAGTTTAAATAATTGTGCTATGCATGTCATTTTAGTGTGTTAGCAATTGAAAAAACTGTAATAGATGCTGTTGGAAGATGTTAGCTGATCTGTGGATGTAAAACAATACTGGTGGCACAAGTTTCTCTGGTTGTTTAGTCTGGTGCTCCTTCCTATAAATATTTATTCTAACATTGTCCAAAGATTATTAATCTGCAGCATTTATTAGAAATGATCAGGTCACTGACTGTAACCTTCTTGTACACATTTACATTTATTTTACATTAAATAAAGTAAAATGATCTAATATTTTAACAGTTTAACAAGTTATGTCTCTAATACTCTGAAGATTTTTTTATTTTATATACATTCATCACATTTTTGTTTTTATTATCAGTTAACTTTTTATTTTCAATCACCATAATTACTGACTGTGTGGGGCGGAGCTTCGTGACGACAACAACACTGTAGCCAATCGTGTGCGAGCAACCGCGCAGTGACATTAGCATCAGGCTCATGGATATAAACCTCTCCGACAGTCAGAAGTTCACCGCGGTCGATAAACCGAGTCAGAGCAACAATGCCCGATACAGTGAAAGCGCCCAAGAAAGGCTCAAAGAAAGCCGTTTCCAAAGGCGTCACCAAGACCGGCAAGAAGAAGAGAAAGACCAGGAAGGAGAGCTACGCCATCTACGTGTACAAGGTGCTGAAGCAGGTCCACCCTGATACCGCATTTCCTCCAAGGCTATGGGCATCATGAACTCCTTTGTGAGCGACATCTTTGAGCGCATCGCCGGTGAGTCCTCCCGTCTGGCTCACTACAACAAGCGCTCCACCATCACCTCCAGGGAGATCCAGACCGCCGTCCGCCTGCTGCTGCCCGGTGAGCTGGCCAAGCACGCTGTGTCTGAGGGAACAAAGGCTGTGACCAAGTACACCAGCTCCAAGTAAACCTGCTGTTACAACCAACAACACAAAGGTCCTTTTCAGGGCCACACACTCCTTCTACTGAGAGCTAATGTCCTTCATTATACATTAATGTGACTCATTTATACTTCAAATACTGTAATATGAAAACACCTCCATTATAAACAATTGATGTGATCAGACTATTACTGAGGCTTTTCCTGTTCTCAGCCATTTATTACAATGGTGATGTTTATATATTTGAGTTCTTCTCCTTTAACAAGAGTTTTATATTTTCTTCAAGTACATTGCTGCCATCCTGTGGTGACTGGTTTCATTATTACCCTCTTTGTGATAAATGGATGCATTTATACATATTATTTCACGTTTACATACCA